TTTTTAATTTTGATTCTATTGAAAAATATTTTACAGTGACAAAACAAGCAAGTGCTGGTGTGAATCAAAATTTTATTTGAATTAATGTTTTGTTGTTCAAATTAAATAGTGTGTTGTCAATGTATTTGAAAAAAGGTAGGGGTGCACACACAGAAGTTTAACTTGCAGACTATACAAACATACTATGAAGTGGTATGTACAAACTTACATATTATTGCAACAGTTTGTACCCAAACAAGACAGTTCATTGACTGTGGTGCTTATCTGTGCAAATTATGCATATCTAACATGTTATTGTTAAAATTAATTGACTTTTAGTTTGCCTATACATCATACTGTGTTGTGATGGAGTGTTCCGATATGTTGTCCAAGTATAAATTCTATTGTAATGGTTATGCTCTGTCATAACATTGTTTATTATATAACTTCAAAATTTTTGAGGCAATGGCTTATGACTCTCATGCTTCACAGTTTCAGGTACAATTTGCTATTGAAATGGAATATCATTTTTATATAGGTGGAAGACAATAACTATTAGCGTTGCAACCAGAGTTGCTTAGTGCTAAGCAACTCTTTACAATGATTTACAAGCATTGAAAAGGCATCTGCAAAAAAAGTGTGGCATTCCTAGCCCAGGTATGACAAAAATAAATATACTAGAAGTAACTATAATTTTAACATTTATTACGTAGGATAACTACTTTTTGCCTGGATTCTAAAGCTCAATATAACTATTTCAAAGGGTCTCCTTATCTTTAAAGAGCAGTGATTTCAAGGATATTGAACTATTATTATTTTAATTGTGTAATTAAATGAAATCAGTATCTCAGTATAGTGTTGCATGCAATAGCAATGATAAAAATTAATCACAAAATTTCACTATGTACTATGTTTATTATTAGACTTACACCAAATAATATAGAAAAATCATTAAAATGGTGTCACTGAACTCCTATTAAGAATAACAAATAGAATTCAAGTGATGGTTCAGTATTGTGATGCTTCATGCAGCCTGTAGTAGCAATTTTGCATTGATAAAGTTAAATTTTTGCTAACATGACCTCTTCTATTGGTCCTAGCATAGTTAATACGTACAAAAATTTATTGTCCAAGCATAGAAGTGTTTTAAAGACAGACTATCCATGAATGATTGTCCTTTACATGGATATTTATGGTCCTGTCGGGTCCGCATCAATCCGTCCGTCCGTCCTTTTCGGGCGGGGCGGGTCCGTCCGTCCGTCCGCTTTTGAGACCCTACCATCAGTCCGTCCGTCCGTCCTTTTCGGGCGGGGCGGGTCCGTCCGTCCGTCCGCTTTTGAGACCCTACCTATTTTTTCTCCGTGTCAACCAACTCTCAGAGCTTAGATACGCCCATGCCCTACCATGGATGTTGGTCCGGCAGCCGGACACGATTTGCAGCGCTATTGGTTCGGCAGCCGGACACGATGGTTGTCCCTAAAAAGCGGACCGGACCGGACCAACGGACCCGAAAAGACTAATTTACGGACCGAGCGACGGACCCGATACAAACTAATTTATTGACCCGACCAAGGGACCCGAAAAGACTAAAGTACGGACTCCGCGTTAATGATCACGGACCTGACCGACCTAGAGCATAGATATCTATGCTAGCATCAGTATTTATAATGCTAGCAAACTCCATGATGGCCTAGACAACATACAGAACTTTAGTGAAAAATATAATTTTTGTCTATGGAGATAGATCTACTATCAGTTGAGTAATAATACAATGCAGTGAGGCCGTAGTTTATTGATAAAGTCTGTAATATCAACTTGAATTAATTTTACACTTGTTCAAAACTAATAATAATATTATATCTAGTAGACTATAATAATCAATTGTTATATTCATGCATCAGCAATTTATGTATTAATTAATTTATTTAAACTTGACAGTGACCGGCAATGAGAATAGAGTTAAGAGGCTAGATAAAAAGAAACACCAAAGGCCTGACCAAGGAAACATGGCCAGCCAGAAAGAAAAAGAAAAAAGATGAG